TAAACTTAGTCATGTCAAATGGTTGATATTGTTGGGTACATATGATGAGCTGTCACCTTGTCACATTAACCACAGAATTCCAAACACATACGAGTGATAGTTCTTCCGCATACGACCTACCACCCACCTTTCACTCTTTCAAAGTAATACGGCAAAGGACTGGTTTCAAAAAATGACAGAAAAGATAATTTTGTGGCTGGAGGGGGAAAAACACACACACAAATATTTTTCTGATGGATGACAATAGAAGTAGTCGGAAAGGGCTGATTTATCTCTTATTAACAAAATTACAAAACAGAATATATGGAGTATACGACATATAACATTCATACGCCACCTACCATTGGAATTTATAACAGTCATACGCCACCGTGGCCATAACCTGAAAAATATGTATCTTTTTCATTTCGGAACACTTCAGATAATTTAAATTTTTGTTGGGAAGAATTTTGTGGTCTGGTTTGCTTTGTAATTTAAATTAATCTCTCTTTCATCTCATAAATTCATTTACTTGCATGTGTTTTTCATATGATGATTTGTGGCTGTAACCTCTGTGACTGTGGTCGCCTTCACAGAACGAATTCTTTTCCCATTTTGCACACCGGCGGAAGCCTTTCAAAAAAATTAAACCATAATCCATTTGCCTAGTCCTCCGGAAACGGAATTAAATATGACAAAGGAAAATGAAAGAGGGAAAAAAGCATCAGCTTCGTTTTTTTGGGTAGCTTAATGGGGCTAATGAGCCGACCGGAAAAAAGAGGAAATTGAATTGTATTTTTGTAAACACCTTATCCTTACATTACCCTCTAAAAAGAGGGTTCTTTGTGTGGAGGTCATGCAAGGGCTTTGATTTATAACAGGAAAGGTGTTTTTATCACACGTAGAATTTAAATGAATATTTTTCACGCTTCAAATAAGGTGTGGATTTTTTTAAATATCTTTTCTAGGACCACACAAGGCGTGGAATTTTTAAGGAATATTTTTTTCAAAGGTCATCGAATGTGTGATTTTTTGAAAGAATATTTTTTCAGGGACTACAGAAGGTGTGGATTTTTTAAAGAATATTTTTTCAAGGACTACAAAAGGCGTGGATTTTTTAAAGAATATTTCTTCAAGGACTACAGAAGGCGTGGATTTTTTAAAGAATATTTTTTCAAGGACTACAAAAGGCGTGGATTTTTTAAAGAATGTTTTTTCAAGGATTTTATGAATCGTGGATTTTTTAACGAATATTTCTTCAAGGACTACAGAAGGCGTGGATTTTTTTAAGAATATTTTTTCAAGGACTTTATGAATCGTGGATTTTTTAACGAAGGACTACAGAAGGCGTGGATTTTTTAACGAATATTTTTTCAAGGACTACAGAAGGCGTGGATTTTTTAACGAATATTTTTTCAAGGACTACAGAAGGCGTGGATTTTTTAAAGAATATTTTTTCAAGGGTCAACACAAGGCGTGGATTTTTTAAAGAATATTTTTTCAAGGGTCAACACAAGGCGTGGATTTTTTAAAGAATATTTTTTCAAGGGTCAACACAAGGCGTGGATTTTTTAAAGAATATTTTTTCAAGGGTCAACACAAGGCGTGGATTTTTTAAAAAATATTTTTTCAAGGGTCAACACAAGGCGTGGATTTTTTAAAGAATATTTTTTCAAGGGTCAACACAAGGCGTGGATTTTTTAAAGAATATTTTTTCAAGGGTCAACACAAGGCGTGGATTTTTTAAAGAATATTTTTTCAAGGGTCAACACAAGGCGTGGGTTTTTTAAAGAATATTTTTTCAAGGACTTTATGAGTCGTGGATTTTTTAACGAATATTTCTTCAAGGACTACAGAAGGCGTGGATTTTTAAAGACCATTTTTCAAGGATTCTACAAGGCGTGGATTTTTTAAAGACCATTTTTCAAGGATTCTACAATGCGTGGATTTTTTAAAGACCATTTTTCAAGGATTCTACAAGGCGTGGACTATTTTTTAAGGATTCTACAAGGCGTGGATTTTTTAAAGACCATTTTTCAAGGATTCTACAAAGCGTGGACTATTTTTTAAGGATTCTACAAGGCGTGGATTTTTTAAGGACCATTTTTCAAGGATTCTACAAGGCATGGATTTTTTAAAGACCATTTTTCAAGGATTCTACAAGACATGGATTTTTTAAATACCGTTTTTCAAGGATTCTACAAGGCATGGATTTGCTAAAAAAAATTTTGCAAGGATTCTACAAGGCATGGATTTTTTAAATACCGTTTTTCAAGGATTCTACAAGGCATGGATTTGCTAAAAAAAATTTGCAAGGATTCTACAAGGCGTGGATTTTTTAAAAACCATTTTTCAAGGATTTTATAAGGCTAAAAAAATTTGCAAGGATTTTATAAGGCTAAAAACATTTTGCAAGGATTTTATAAGGCTAAAAAAATTTTACAGGGATTTTAAAAAGCTAAACAAATTTTACTGGGATTGTATAAGGCTAAAAAAATATTGCAAGGATTTTATAAGGCTAAAAAATTTTTTTTTAAAGTAATTTTTTTCAAGGACTACAGAAGGCGTAGGTTTCTTTTTAAGAATATTTTTTCAAGGCCTCTAATGGGTGGGGATTTGTCAAAGAGTATATTTTCAAAGCCTTTAAGATTTTATTAGGCTTGGATTTTTTTAAAGAATATTTTTTCATGGACTACTATAAGATGTGGATTTTTTTTTAAAGAATATTTTTTCAAGGTCTTTATGAGGGGTCGATTTTTTAAAGAATGTTTTTTCAAGGACTTTATAAAGCGTGGACCATTTAAAGAATACCATAAAAGGATTTTTTTAAATATCATTAGATTTAAATAATTTTAAATCTTCAATCATACCCAAAATCATAATTTATCTTCCTTTTGTAAATATCTTTAAAAAAATTCTTATTTGGAAAAAGGGAAAATAATGCTTCTGTTAATTGCCCATTTTTGGGTCATTGATTTCCCCATTCAATTGTTCATCTTGGCATTTTGAAAGTCTTGCAGATTTGCCGCATGATTAGACAATTTTCCCGGCAATGCTTCAATGCGTTTATTTTTCCTAAAATTTCACAGCATTTTGTAACAACAACAGCAACAAAGATGATTCAGTTTCTACGACGTAATTTAAGCAATCATTCCCCCTCCATCCGTTCATTCATTTGACCATTGAAAACAGAAAACCGGGTGGCGTCCAATTGTTATAGTAATTTGGGTTGATGCTGTGGGGGTTATGATAGAAGGGTGAGTGCTTGGTGGTCTGTTTTTGAACGGTTACCAAAAGCCATTAAATTAATGTAACCATTTTATATATTTTTTTCTTTCACTTCACCAAAGGCGGATAAATGCCATTCATGGGGTATTTTTTTTGGTTACCTTTTTTTAAGATTTATGAAATAACTGAAAGCCATAACATTTAATTTATCAGGCTCAGTGTTATTTGCTTTTTTTGCAAAGAGTAAATAAAAGCAGTCATGGAGATAAAGGGGCGGGTGTCGTTTCAAATTGTGTGGCATTTCAATAGAATTTCTCCACATGGTGTGAGGAGTAATGTCTGGATAATTTGTTGCAGAATCCAAAAGTGAATGACGCCACCCATTCACCACCTTGGTATTTTCTTTTTTTCATTTGTAATTGGGCAATTGTGAGTTATCATTTTCTTCAACCATAAGATAGCTGTCAGGAGCAAATGTTCGTGTTACTTCACATCTTCAATTTCGATTTCTTCCTCTCGCCCTTTATATATTTTTTCAAGGACTAAAAAAGGCATGGATATTTTAAAGAATATTTTTTTCAATGGCTATAAAAGGTGTGGATTTTTTAAAGAATATTGGATTTTTTAAAGAATATTTTTTTTTCAAGGGTCAACACAAGGCGTGGATTTTTTAAAGAATATTTTTTCAAGGGTCAACACAAGGCGTGTATTTTTTTAAAGAATATTATTTCAAGGGCTACAAAAGGTGTGGATTTTTTAAAGAATATTTTGTCAAGGGTCAACACAAGGCGTGGATTTTTTAAAGAATATTTTTCAAGGCCTCTAACAGGCGTGGATTTTTTAAAGAATATTTTTTCAAAAGCCACACAAGGCGTTGTTTTTTAAAAGAATAGTTTTTGAAGAGCCAGTGGCTACAAAAGGAGTGAATTTTTGAAAGAATATTTTTTTAAAAGCAACACATCGAGTTGTTTTTTAAAAGAATATTTTTTCAAAAGCCACACCAGGCGTTGTTTTTTAAAATAATATTTTTTCAAGAGGCAAAGGCTACAAAAGGCGTGGATTTTTTAAAGAATAATTTTTTCGAGGGTTACAAAAGGAGGAGTGTTTGTAGTTTGAAATTTCATTTTCTCCTCCCAACAGTTTATCATGACATAGCCCCCATATAAAATCTCCACTGATGTTAGGTATTTTAAATATCCACTTCATTTTGAATATCCACTTTCTCCTGCCCACCTGGCCCTGTAACAAATTCCATCACCATGCAAATATTTATCCGTATTCATTAATTTTTTTTTAATTTTTGTTTTCAATTGCTTGATACAAATGAAAATTCCTGAATACTCACTTTAAAGGGACCATAGCTAATTGGAAACAGTTTCAAAGAAATTTGTTAAATTCCAAAAGGAAAATTAACCACTTGATTGTGAAGGGTTTTTATGTTCGTCATTAAAGTATTTTCCTAAGAATTCTATTAAATTACAAAAAATCCCTTTAATTAGTTATGTGCTCATTTCCATCCTCCTTTCGCCTAAACTCAATTCATTAGTTGAATTTAAAAACTATTCAACAGTTGTTTGCCCATGAAATGTTTTCGTAAAGGGTACATACAATTTTAACATTACACAATATTTCATATATCGGAATTTCCAAGAAAATGTTTCTAACAAAAATAAACTTTACCATAATTAGTAGAATTATGGAATAAGTTAATAAAAAATTTTTTTTCTTGTAAAGATACTTAACACATTGCATGTTTCCTTGGAGATTTGCAAGGAAACAGTATTTCCGAAATTTCATAGTAGTTGTGTATTACTTGGTATACGTACCTGCAAAAGAGAGAGGAGGGAAAATAAGAATAGGTTTAGTAACGTATTTTCGTTTATAGAAATGTTTGAAATAAAATGTAAAAAAAAAACAATCGAAGAAGAAATCACACAAAAAGTATAGATCAACAACAAATCATGCAGAAATCTGTTTGGAAAGAAGAAATAAAAAAATTAAATTTATAGATTATTAAATAAAAAAGCTGTTCATTCCTGCAATTTCAAAAAAGAAAATAATTAGTTAGTAGGCAATAATTAAAAAAAAATGAGTTGAAAATGTTAAAAATAATAAAAAAATATTTTTTAAAATAATAAAAATAATAAAAAAAATATTTTTTAAAGAAAAAAATTTCATGGGCTACAAAAAGTGTCGATTTTTTTTCAAGAGCTACAAAGGACGTGGATTTTTTAAAGAATATTTTTTCAAGGGCCATTGAAGACGTCTTTATTTTAATAAATATTTGTTCATGGGCCATTGAAGGCGTAGATTTTTATAGACTACTAGCATATACCGGCTACTTAGTTAGCGAGTATGCGATGTATTTAAAACCCTATACCGACCATTATTAAAATTTTAGAACCATTTAGTACATATGTTATCTTTAGTACGTTTTTCAAGTCTACTTCTATATCTCAAACCTACACACCCATTCCGACCACTAAATTTGGTGTCATTGTTTTACCCATTGTTCTCAAATCAAATAGAGCTTCACCCAAATCCTAATTGAGTATCCGTTAGTGCACAATTATATAAATTTCCATAACTACCTACTTTAACAATCATAAGTAAGAATTCCCACATACCCCAATCTTAATTCCAACATACCCCAATCATAATTTCAAATTTCAGAATTCTATCGGTTCACCTAAATCCAATTTTATTACACTTAGTAGTACCATTAAGTACCTAATTTCATGATTCGATCTCTAAAGGTTCATTTAAATCCAATTTTTTCCATATTTAGTTCCATTTAACACACATGAATATAAATGTCCATAAGTACCACCTCAACCATCCAACAGAAATCGTATAACCCATTTCATTTCCATTGCTATATACTTCATATAATCCAATGAAAAGCTTATTTCCCCAATTTCAGTATTCGAGACATATCGGTTCAAAAAAATCCAAATAATATCAAATTTTGTACATAGTTGCACCAATTTCCAAAACATCCTACATACCCCAATCCTACACCCCCACAGTCATTCTAAATCCTAGTTCCAACATTATCGGTTGACCCACAAATCAAATTGTACCAATTTTAATACACAGTAAGACGAATTTCCAAAACTTCCTACATGTCATAATCCTATACCCCCACAGTGATCCTAAATCCATGTTTCAGGATTCAAACTCTATCGGTTCACCCACAATACAAATTGTACCAAATTTAGTACACAGTAGTACCAATATCCAAAACTTCCTACATATCCCAATCCTACACCCCCACACTGATCCTAAATACAAGTTTCAGGATTCCAACACTATCGGTTCACCCACAATTTAAATTGTACAAAATTTAGTACACAATAGTACCAATTTCCAAAACTTCCTACATATCTCAATCTTACACCTCAACAGTGATCCTGACCCCAAATTTAATGATTCTAGCTCTATTGGTTCCCCTAAAATAAAAATGTACCAAATTTAGTACCATTTAGTATCCATAAGTATTAATTTGTTAAACTGAATCCTGACCCTAATCCTACATCCCCACAATGATCCTAACTCCAAACTTCATTGTTCCAGCTCTATCGGCTCACCCAAATCCTAACTGTACCGATTATAGTACGATTTAGTACTTTTCGTACACATAATACAAACTACGTTCATATTCGAATCGTACACTCCGACGGTAATTTTAATTTCAAATTCCAGGATTCCAGCTCGATTTGTATCTCCAAATTAAATTTGTTCCAAATATAGTACCATATAGTACTTTTCATACACATGAGTACACGCTTTCAAAACCATCTCCTTAAATGGACCATACTTCTCAACCATAATTCACACTCCAAATTTAAAGTTTTTAGCGCTATCCGTTCAAATGCTACAGAATTGTACCAAATTTAGTACATTTTCGTACTTTTCGGATAGTTATAGTTCGAATTTCCAAAAACCCTTTGCTACACCTATCCTACACTCCATCAGCGACCACCAATCCAAATGTCAGAGTTCTAGCTCTACCGGTTCGCAAAATACAAATGGTATAACTTTTAGTACTTTTCGTACCGTTCTAGTACGAATTTCCAAAAACCCAGCCTTATCTGTCACCTTTGGACCAAGAGTGACCCTCACCCAAAATTTCAAGATTCTAGCTCCAGCCGTTTCGTCTGGGCGTTGATGAATCGTTAAATCAGTCAGTCAGTTAATCACTTTACTCTTTTATAGATTTTTTTCAGGGGACATTCAAGGTCTGCAATTAAAGTCGGAAAGGACCTTTCGGAGCCCTTTAATACCGAACGAGGATTCAGACAAGGTGACAGTTTGTCGTGTGAACTTTTTAGCATTCTGCTGGAAAAAGTCAAACGAGTGGTGAAGAGAAATTGCACTCTGGTGCAAATTGGTATAAATATTTTAACAAATGGATTTTGAGGCGAAGCCCTCAGATAATAAGTGTTTTTTTTTCAACAACAATACTCTCTGGAGAAGTGGTAGTAAAAAATATAAATCCCCCAATTTCCAACAAAAAATGTCCACCCACAATAATGCTTAACACTTCATCATAATCTTGTAATAAACATGAGGTTTAAAGGAGAATCACTTCTCTGTGACATCATTTACGGTACAGGTTTCAACATTCATTTTATGTCTCACCATTATATTAGGATTTTAAACGTTTTCTCTTATTTTTTGAAAGACAATTTTTCTTTTTTTCTACTGTATTCGTGTTGTCATAAAACACTGCCCTGCATTCTGACTGGTTTCCCATAACACCTTCAACAAAGATGTTATAACAAAAATTTTAGCGGGTAACCGAAAAAAAAGAACATAAAAGCTCATAATAATAAAGACATAAAATGTTTTGGGGTCGATTTAATGTTTTTTTATGGGGATTCCTTTGTTGTTGGTGGTGTTATTTTTTCTTCTTTTGTTTCATTTTATTATTGCCACCAGTAGTTCTTGTTGCTGTTGTTGTCTCATAAACATTGTTGCAGCCATAAATAAATAAAACGGAGATGGTGGCAGACGTGGTTGGGCAAATAAAAATAAATGCAGGAAGGGACATATGCTATGGGGATTTAGAAAAAATATTCTACTGCGGACCATCCTATGTATGTGAGATTGTATGGTTAACAAGTGGTCGAATTATTTCTAATAAAAATTAAATATCTATTAAATTTTATCACATTTTTATTGCATGTATTTTGGAAATTAAACAAAATATATTTTTATATACATATGTTTTTTTCGGGGTTTTAATACCTCATATAAATAAAAAATAAAATGTGTTCGCATGTGGTGAGGATTTTATTGGAAACGAATATTTGTGTATACGTCACATTCAACCGTATTGCTATATTATTAGCAACAATACGTCTCTGTGTCCCCAATAATTAATATTAATTTTACGCAACCATATAATTTATGATCGATGTTTAAAAATTGAAAGTTCCAAGACATTTTTGAAGAACTATAAGAAGTTTTTCAATATTTTTGGAAGTGGTATTAAAAACTATGTATTCAAGGATAAAAAAGATTGGATTTTTCGAAGAATATATTTTCGAGGGGTATATAATAGCTAGATATAAAAAAGTATGTTTTCAAGGAGGATAAAAAGCTTGGATATAGTGAATGAAATATTCTTATAGGACCAACCAAAACAAAGTGTACACTTTTTTGAAGGATCATAACTCACGAGGATTTAAAAGAATATTTTCTCAAGACCTGTGTGCTAGAATTAAAAGTAATACTTTTTAAATTACCCAAGTTTAATAAATTGGTTTTTCATTGCGTGCCAAATCTTCCTACCAAAAATTATCAATATCTGTTGCCGTTTTGGAATAACCTCCATATAAAGTTCAGGCCCCTTTATAAGTGTTCCGATAATCCAGGCGTATTCAACAGGAGTGGCTGTAATTTGCCATTTCGAGACTTCTGTGGATAAACAACTTCTTCACAGAACATTTTAAATATTACCCCATATTTCTTTATATTCACCAGCAACCTCAGTTTGTGCACTTTGGTATGTACTTTTCTCCTGGCTGCAATGTAGCATACATAGTTCCATATAAAAATCCTGATAAATTTTATATAATTTGAATATATACCTCATGGTGGAGGGTATAAACAGTTCGATCCGGCCGATCATAACTGTTTAAATGAATTACTGTCAAAAATATTAAAAAAAACTTTTTTCTGACAGAAAATGGATTTTAAAGAAAGTTCCTCTTAAGTTTATGAACGGGCGCAGAAGGTCTCAAAATTCTGGATAGAGAACTAATTAAGGCAACGATTGGTGTTATAATCATAAAAATATCCTTTGGAAAAATCATATTTATGAATTTTATATACGAAATTTTTGATGATTATTTTCTAATTACTAATAATTTTCACTTTAATTTCACTCATTTCATGTAAATTTTCTGACACATGTCAATGTTATACAACATTTTTCAATTATAAATTTAATTCAGAAAAATATGAAATTTCGAGTTTGACCTTATGTCATTTGTAAACCAGTGAGCGGAGCAGTATAGTCGGACGGGGCCGACCATATGATACCCTATACAACTACCACGGAACTCTAACTTTCTGCTATCTTTATTCCAAGAATGAGCAATATTTCGCCATATTTGCACCCTCTTAACCGATTAGAGGTCAATAGCTCTTATTTCTTGCCATGACATCTATTTCGAATTATGTTTTATTTCATAATATCTAATTTTTTTCATTTTACACAGAAAGGTCTTGGTTGACTTGACCCGCTGAATAGTGACTGATCATTATAAAAGCCCATCAAATTAGTTGGCCAGATTCATTCTCCAGTTTAATATTCTGCTTATAATTGTGTCGATTTGAAAAAAAAAACACAATAAGTTTCGGTCCACTTCATCCTAAAATTATTATCTGAACATCACCGCACATTATAGGCGTTGTCCTTGACCATAACCGGAACCTCATGGAAATTTTAAAAGCGATCA